CCCAACACCTCCTCCTCCACCCCTGCTGAGCTGACATAATTTGTTGTTTGCACCCCATGCTGGATTCTCTGTGTATCCTTGGGAGGCAAGACAGGTGCCAGCCAGTCTGTGCCAGGCTGGGAAAAATACTTGTGCAGTTGGGATCCTTTGCAGATAAGTAGACCCTCCTATCTTCATAGCCTAACAGTTCCCAAGGGAAAAGAATGTGATTTTTGCCATCACCTTGCTCCTCCCCTTCAGGAGGGGATTTGTCCTTTTCCTATGTTTACTATACCTTTCCCCTCTCATGTCACACCTCCTTCCTTTGTCTTACTGTTATAAATATGCAAACTTCTGTATGAATTGTGAATTCTTTGGGTTCCACATGCATATTCATTCTTCTTGTAATAAACCTGGTTTTCACATAAGTTTCATGATGCTGTGATTGCCCGTGGATATACCCACAGCAATTTATGTGTAAAAGGTGCCACAAAAGTAAGAACAAGGTGTTAATCTTCTATGGAGGATTTGTGGAAAGACATGAACAAAAACAGCACAGGATTAGGAGGAGTAAATGTACCACCATGGAGAGTCACCATGCCAAAAAGAACAGAGAGGCATTAAAATAGAATGTCTCCAACATTTCATAGGCATACATAGTCTACTAAAAGTCGAAGGCAGTTACACCAGGTTTTGTGTTTCTTGGGATGTCCAGCAGGTGGGGAGCACTCTGCACTCAGCACCCTGGAGTTGGACCACTAGAAAATGGACCCTCACTCAGATCTATTAAAAGAGTTGTCTCACTCGGGGGCTCATAGAAAATAATTTTAATTCACCAATTCCTGAGCGTGTTATCAAGGGGACTAGCCAGGATCTCTAGGCCTAAATAAATCTTTACAGATGATAAGCTAGAGCCTACTGAACTGTAGGAAGCTTCTGGAGTTCAAATGAGACTTTTCTCATTAAAACAAATGTGAAAAGCCAGCAATAAGCCAAGGCCCCCAGGGTGTTTACCTAAAGTCTTCCTCTACCCACCCATCCTAGTCCCCAATTAAATGAAATGTGATTGCAAATGTATTACACTACAATATTTTACAAATCATGTCTATGGGCTTCATTAAGTGTATAGAATGGCTTTCTAATTAATTGTAAATGAATTTCTATGCTCAGTCGAGGTCTCTGGAGCTTTGTCTTCAATTTTTGCACTAATACATTTTTGCCCAAACACAAAGTCAATGAAGCTGAATGACTCATATTCCTACTGCTTCCTGGGGTACATGGAAACTCTTCCTTCAACAAACCCCTTGAATGTTAATTGTTCTGTTTTAGCAAAAGGTTGATGGGCCACTGTGTTTAGATCATCTAACTTTTTTCCATTTAAATTCAAATTGGAAAACATTCATTGGTTGCTAAAATGCAAACCTCTGGAGGGCAGAGACCAGTACACTTTAGTCTCTGGGGATCCCTTTAGCACCTAGGACAGAGCCTCAAATATGGCAGGTGCTTAATAAAGGATTTACTGGCTGATTAGTGGCAGCTTGGTGGCCCAGTGGATAGAGGACTAGGCCTAGTGTCTGGAAGACCCAAGTTCAAATCCAGCCTCAGACATTTTCTAGCTGTATGATCTTGGGCAAGTCACTTGGTTTCAGTTTCCTTAACTGTAAAATGGGGAAAATAACAGCACCTAACTCCCAGAGTTGTTTATGAGAACCAAATGAGATATTATTTCTAAAACATTTAGCCCAGTGCCTGTCACACAGTAATTATCATGAAATCACAGTGAAATGGAAAGACTACTATACATGTAATCAGACCACCTAACTGCTGGACAAAGTCATTTTATCTCTCTGAGACTCAACTTCCCAAACTATAAAATTGGAACAATAATATACTATTTACCTCATGAGGCTCTTGTAAGGAAAACAGTTTAGAAATTTGAAGTCAATATAATGCCTGTTATTAGAATTCAGACCAAAAGCCAAATCATCAATGAGTTCTTTTGGTACTTCTAGTAATTAAACATATAGGGTTCGAGGTGGTCCCACTTTTAGCAGAATGCTTGCAATGAAAGTCTAGTGTATAATTCTCCCTCTGACATTTACTACTTGTGTGACCTTGGACTAGTCATTTAACTTTCTTAGGTTTGGGCTTTCTGTAAAATGAGGAGGCTGAATGAAATGGCTTCTGAAATCACTTAGATCTATGATCATATGGTTGAGTCATTAAATTCTGCTTACCATATGAAGGGACAGTCAGGGAAGATGGTGGGAGCAGATTAGGTCTGCTGGGCCCTTGGGTAGATCTGGAAACTTCATCGGTGCCCTGCAACGAATGGGATACTTTCACCCCAACCAGTAAAGTCTGCTGAGTTTTTTTGGAGTTTTTAATCTGTGTCTAGCAGGACAAGGCATTTTAAGAAAAATGCAGGGAGTCTAAACCTGGAGATCAACCATGCTAACTGGGGAGAGAAGACACCTGAGGAATTGGCAGATAGTTGATATACAATCCCCACCAGTGGGGAAAGGGCCTTTGGGCAATAACTACTACTCTTAGGCTGACAGGGTGATTTAGCTTTCCTGTCAGGGTTTTTTGGCTTCCCCATGGGGCATCAAGGTGGTGTAGTGGATAGATTGTTAGGTCTAGAGTCAGGAAGATCCCTCTTCTCAAATTCAAAAATGGCCTCAGTCACTACCTGGGTGACCCTGGGTAAGTTACTTAACCCTGTTTGCCTCAGTTTCCTCATTTGTAAAATGAACTGGAGAAGGAAATAGCAAACTACTCCAGTATTTTTGTGGAGAAAACCCCAAGAGAGGAAATAAAGAGTCAGATACAACTGAAAAATGACTGAACATCAAAATGGAAACTGACTGGAAAGCCTACTTGTATTCCATACACTTTCTCTCCTGGTTCTGCTGGCTTCCTTCAAGACTCAGCTCAAATCCCAACTTCTACAGCAGTTCTTTCCTGGTCTGCTTGTGCCTTCCCTCAGGGATTACCTTCCATTTATACTGTATATAGTATGTGCATAATTATTTGTATGTTATTCAATGTCTTCTTGAGGATTAAGACTATGTATTTGTTGTTCATTGTATTCCCAGCCTTTAGCAATGTGTTTGAAATAGTAAATGCTTTTAAAATGGGGGGGGGGGGAAGACTCATTAAATTCCTTTTAACATTAAAATCAAGCACATAGATTCAGAGTCCATCCATACATCTTAGTGCAGTGCCTGGCACATAGCAGGCTCTTTATAAATGTTTATTCCTTTCCCTTCCCCACCCCCACCCAGAGTATCCCTCCACCCTAGTCTGAACAGCTTGCAACAAGCTTACATTCCCATCCAAAGCCTCCAGGTTGCTCTTAGATCATCACAAAGAGATACATCCTTTAAGTGCTCACCTGTCGCTAACACTGAGGAATGTATTGGGAGTAAGGGAAAGCAAGTGAATTATTATGTCAGATTCATAGAATCACAGAATCTCACAAGTACAAAGGACATCAGATATTAACTAATTCAACCTCGACCTCAATGGGAATCCCCTCTATGACATCCCTGGCAACTGAATATCCAGACTCTGGCTTCTAAGGTCTCTTCCAGCTCTGACAGTCAGTGTTCTAAGGTCTTTCTAATTTTAACATTCTATATTCTGTTCTTTCATCCCTAATATCCCTTTCAAATGGATAAGTTCCAATACATGTATGTGTTAAGCAAACAGGAAGTGACTTTGAAAAATGCTGTGTAGCAGGAATTGAATTAAAGCATATCCCATGGAGCATCTATGGAGCTGATCTGAGCCCACCCCCTAAGCCATTTTCAGGGACACATGTGCTTAGTGCTGCGGACTTCATGCTTTGGAATGACACAGCAATCCCTTGGTCCTCATGACCTCTGCAGAGGAAAGGGAATATGTTTAAAAAGGATTGGCCATTGGGTCAGAAAGAGCCAGCCACCTATCAAAAGCCTTTAAGAAATAACTTCCTCGCTTGCTATATTCTTCCTTTCCCCAGAACTTGAGGAATGAAACTCCAACTACTACTCCTATTCCTCCTTCTCTCTGTTTCTATTTCTTTCCCTGAACATAGGTGACATAATAGCAATTCTGAGAAAGACATTTCCAGACTAGGAGGTAACAAGTTTGAAATGTAGGAAGCTCCAGGCTCTCTATCAGCGTCAGCTACGTTGCAGGAAGTGCTCTCCATATACCAGGACACCTCTCAGAGCAAAAGATGACTGCTGATGGGAAAATTAGCCAAAGCCCTGGCACACCAAATGGGATGAACTTTGAGGAAGGGGTTTGTTTGAATGCTGCAGAGCTAAGGTAAAGGTAAAAGTTCTTTGAATAGTCCCACTAAATGTTCCATGTTTTAAGTGTCAGCCTTTCAGGAGAATATAAGAGTTATGAGCTACTGTAGTATATCCTAAGTCTTTGTCAACGCGGGCTTATAAGTCTTTTTGTGTTTTAAACATTTCTTTTGTATTGAGGAAATAAATAACTAATCTTCATTATATATCAAACAATATATCATATATTGGGAAGAACTTAATTTAACCATGATCCAAAGTTGAGCTTTAAGTGATTTTTCCCTGGAGGTGACCTTGGGCAAGTTTCCCCTATAAAAAGGATTAGATCACCTCGAGGATCCCTTTAGATCTAAATTTTATGTTACTATGATTAATCACCTTATTCATCCACTCTAACATACCTTTTCCTGACATCCATCCTTCTGTATCTTAAACACCAAATTTCAAAAATTAAGTTTTTATAAATGCTGGTGTACAGTGCCTGCCAGAGGGAGTTTTTGTAATCATGATAAGGCAGGGGTTATTATTAATTCCCATCATCACAGTTACTTTGAAAAGTATGACAAGATTACAAAGCTAATTCTGATCTTGAACTTCAAACTTCTGCTAACATTTGCTATGAAGCACTGTCAGTGCTTCTAAGATATCAAGGCATTTGATGCTGATGAAACTTCTATGATAGTCTAATCCTATACTTACTAGTTAGCTATATACACTTACTTCTTTGACTTTTTTCATCCTTGTAACTTTTCGAGGAGCTATGTGGCAATAACTGCAAATAGAAATAAGTATAATTAGGAAATAATGTTTCAGCAGATGGACACAAATATGAAGTATAGACTAAGCTCCCTTCCTAACATAAAAACAATCAGATTTCTGTTTGTTTGGTATGGGGGTGGGGTGGGGTTGAGACTGAGTCTTCTTATCTTGACTGAGTAAAAAGTGCAACAGTCACTCAAAGGCCCAACACCAACGGGTACAGAAACTTTAATCTCTTTTCCCAGAGAAGTCACCATATTGGTGCTGGCCTTAGTGCTGACATCTCACCAGCTTTACCCCACTGAAGTTTGGAATTCCCCAGTCCAAACAATCCACCAGGCTCAGCCTCCCCCAGCTGTGGGGATTACAGATGACTGTCACCATGCCTGGCTTGGTATGATAGTTTTAATAGCGAAACAAGCAGCATTTTAAGTACCAATAACTCATGTCTCTAAGGTTTAGGCATTGTTTAGCCTATAATTGGAAGTTTTACGTAACGTTTTTCTATGAACAACCCTGTGAAGTAAACAATACAAGCATTCCAATTTTGTAGATGAGGAAAGTGGAATTCTGAAAATCTGAGTGATTTTTCCCAAGTTAAATAGCAAATTAAGGACAGAACTGAAACACAAACCCAAGTCTCCTGATTTTTAGCTCACTGTACCAGATCATTCCACATCCCAATCATTTTCAAAACATGCCACCTACTCTGGGTCTCCTCCTTCCAGGTCTCCTCCTTATGCCCTCTCCCAACAAAACCTTGGACCCTGCCCTCAGGATGCTGGACACTGAGAGCTGAGTTTTCACCATATCCTGTCCAGAAGTAGGTCTCCAAGACATTTCCCAGACATATTCAAACCAACCTACCTGGTGAGTGTGTCACACACACCTCTTTCTAGTTCCCCTTTATATATTGTCTTCCCTCACTTGACTGTAAGCTCCTTGAGGGCAGGGACTGCCTAAATTCCCTAAATATCCCCATCACTTAGCACAGTACCTGACATGAAAGACGTGCTGAATAAAGGCTTTATCACCATGCATTCATATATTCAATTGTCTGGGGCTTTTTTAAGTGTTTAGATCACTTCAAACTTTGATCTGTATTTTAAGGGTATAGCCTCCTTGCTTAAAGAAAAAAGCCTAGGATTCTTGGGATATGAAACTGCTACCAAAAACAGTAATAATTATGAGCCTACAAGTGTTTTGGAAGGATTAAAAAGCTTTTTTTCTCCATTATTTATCAATGATTTTCAAAGAAGTCCTCTATGATTAATTTAGTCTAGAGGATTTGGACGATGATTGGGTATTAGATAGATTTTTATAGTTTTTGTCTTTCAATTTAGTCTTCTCAAACAATTACTATGAGATGTAGCCCTGGGGTGGCTAATATTATTACAGAGCTTCACTTCTAAGTCCATTTGCTGGTCTTGCATTATGATGAAATTTTCTGAGAAGTGAGAAGTTATTTAAACTGCTCAATGGCTCAGTAATTACAAAATATGCATTTCCAACCAATTATGCCTTACTGATATAAATTAAAATTAAGCCAAAAGTATATCCAGGGCCTTCTTCACAAAAATAGAATTTTGAATACTATTTACATAAGAAAAAATCACTATAAATGCTGGAGTTCCTCTTCAAGTTCAGTATTGTTTGCTCATGAAGAATGGAAGCAATCTATGGTATAAAGAGCTCTGGACCAGGAATTAAGAGACCTGGGTTCAAATCCCAGCTCTGCCAAGCATGCAAATATTATAATGCTATGAGCCTATGAAGAGGGCTCCAAGGTCATACACATCTCATCCAGAGACAAGATTGTTTCCTTTTCCATGGAATCACAGAATGTCAGACCTAGAAAACACTTTTGAAATCACTTGTCCAACATGTTTACAGATATGGAAAACTGAGGTCAATTTGACTCGCCCACTATACTCAGTCCTCTTACCTGTCCATTGCAACATATACCTCCACTCACATCTCACATTGCCACTTTGTTTTAAGCTTATGGCATCCATCTTGTTGCACTACTAATAGCATCTTTGTTTCTGTTCACAGCTTCTTTTGGCTGAATTTTGCATTCCATCACCACTTCTGGGAAGGTCATCCCCTGTGCCTGAAATGCATTCCTCATCACTGCCTCTTCAAATCTAGTTTCCCTCAAGGCTCAATAAGGAGCTTTTCCTCATTTGCCTAATGGTTTGTGCCCTCTCCCACCTCCTCAGATTATTATGTATTTATTTATTAAATTATATTTTGTATTATCCCAGTATAATGTAAGCTCCTTGAGGGCAGAAACCATTTTTCATTTTGTCTTTTTTACCCCCAGCACATAGCACAGTGCCTTGCACATAGTAGGCACTTGGGATCCTAGATTTAGAGCTGGAAGAGTTCTTAGAGGTCACCTAAATCCAACCCCCTCACCTTTTACAGATAAGTAAACTGAGGCCCAGAGAAGTTAAGTAATTTGTCCAGATAAAAAGTGATAGAACCAGGTTTTAAACCTAGATCCTCTGACTTCAAATCCATCACTCTTTCCCCCATGTCATGTTGCATCTCACAGTAAACACATATTGAATTGGGTTGGATTAGATAGGACAGAGGGATGTTAATATTTCACTTACAACTGAATAAATGACTGGGATGGGGGAGAAGGTTTCAGCTTGAAATGCTCCCATTAGATCCCATTTTCTCCTTATCTGGAAAACATTTTTGGAAGGATGAGAAAATAAATTCCCTACAGTCTTTTCATAGCAAGCATATTGGACACACAAAAAAAGGAGCTATTAAAAAAAAGTCAGAAAGTAAGGCAGAAAAAAAATCAAATGAAAACACTGCATAAAGTGGGAAGTACTGTATTAATATAGTAAAAGATAATTTATTAGGTGCCTACTTAATAAATTCTTCCAGATAAATGACTTATGTTTTACACTTTACATTGAACTGCTTTGTAGTTCTCTAAGCATCACACATACACACACACACACACACACACACACACACCCCAACCCTGTGAAATGGACAGTAGCAAGAATTATATTCAATTTATAGATGAGGAAAGGGAGGCTTGGAATGGAAAAGTAACTTGCCCAAGATCACCTGAATTATAAACAGCAGAACCAAGACTCCAACTCAGGTCTGATTCAAGTCCAATCCACTTTCCTTAGGCTATGTTACTCACTGGTTAGACTCATAAAATGTTAAAAGTAAATGGGATATAGAACATTCAATGTCAAAGGTGCAAGAGAAAATAGGATGTAGAAGGGACCCTAGGGATCATTTAGTCCAACCTCATATTTTACAAATTAAAGAAATTGAGGATTCTTGATAATCAGAAAAGGTCAGAACCCGTGGAACACTGTAGAAAGAAGTGAAATGATTCCCAGCTTTATAGTCCAATTGAAGAGATAAAACATGGCAGCATTACACTGCAGTCTATTTGTCAATGTGTGCTAAGCAATCATTAGAGAGGAGTCAGGATAATCAAGGAAGGTTCTGGGTGAGTTTTGAGTGGTATTTTGAAGGACTGTGGTGAGGAAAGCACTTCGTGAAGCACTATACAAATGAGAACTATTATTATTATGAGAAAGGAGACATAAAGAGAATAGAGAGGAAAAGATCTGGGAGAGCCTGGAGTCAGGAAGACTCATCTTCATGAGTTCAAATCTGGCCTCAGACACTTACTAGCTGTGTGACCCTAGTCAAGTCACTTAATCCTGTTTGCCTCAGTTTCCTCATCTGTAAAATGAGCTGGAGAAGGAAATGGTAAAACACTCCAGTAGCTTTGCCAAGAAAATCCCAAATGGAGTCAATATTAAACAACAACAACAAAATAAACTGACAGTGAGACTTACAATCCTAGCTATTAGAGAGCTGAATATGAGTTATAGAATATTAAGAGAAAGATCATCAGATCGAAAGACCTGGGCTCAAATCCCAGTCTGACTTCCTAGTCACATGTCACTTCTCCTTTCCCGCCTCATTTTTCTCATCTGTTAAATGGGCTCAAATCCCAGCCCTGCTTCTTTACTCTCACATTGTCACTTTCTCTCTCCCCAGCCTCATTTTTCTGACGTGTTCAATGAGAGGGGTGGACTAGATGACCTCTAAAATCTCTTCCAGCTATTAATCCTAGCTCAGTGGTGTATATTTGACACATAATCCAGGTGCTTAAATGTAATGATGTCTAAACTCCCCTTCAATCCCCAGGACCCTGCTGGTCTATTTCATACAGTCACTGTCTCCTCTCTACTTACTCTCTCCTCTCTACTTACCCTCCCCCCCCCCACACACACACATGCCGACTTACTCCAGTTTCCTGAACCTTTCTCTCCCAGCTGCTACATATCTGCCCCCTTGCTGTAGTTCCTCCAGTTCCTGGACCAGATGTCCATGACAAGGCGTGTAGAGCCGCCTCACTCCGAAGGGTACTGCCACCTTCTCATTCAACTGAGACATCAAGGCTTCAAAATTGGGGACCCGCTTGCGATTGATCACAAACTTCTTGCCCACGTAGAACTTGTCTCCGTTGCGGTACACCAGGATGGTCTTGGCTGGAGTGATGTCCAACAGCTTGTAAGAGCAGTAGGGTCCCTGGGTGCCCATGGTGGGTGGGGAAGGGGAGGCCAACTAACCAATCAACTAAGACACATTCACCTCGGGAAGGGCCCCTTCTCCTGCCCTGCAGGCCCCAGTCCTCCAAAGATCCAACCCCCGTGGGGGCGGAAGTCCAGGGAAAAGTAAGGTTCTGAGTGAGGAGCACCAGTGAAGGCAGCTCTCTCCAAGAAGCGGTTTGGAGAGATTGGTTTGGGCTTCGACTTTTCCTTGGCTTTCTTTGCCTTCTCTCTCTAGGTGGCCTGGGGATCAGAGAGCAGGAGACTAAGTCATCTAGCAGCAGGAGCAGCAACAGCGCCTGAGACTCTGGTCCCTGGAGCATCACTTCATGCCTGCGGCCGTGGGGTGAGCCGCCAGGGCTGGGGAGGACTTTCTCTTGCCTGCAAACCCGCCCACCGGCCGCAGCAGCTGCGCTGGATGCCGCCGCCAGGTGGGATCTCGGGTGGTAACAGGTCTGGCGGTCAGGCTAGGGTAGGGACCGCTCTACTTAGACTCCCACCTGTCCCCGCCCCTGGGGGCCGGGCATTGACGCGGGCTAAGAGCGATTGTGACCGCTCGCTCGGGTGGGACAGCCTAGGTAGACAAAGGGAAAGGAGAGGCACCCTGAGGGAGGGTGGAGAGAGGTGGAAAAGGTTGGGGGTGAGGGTGAGGGTGAGGGTGAGGGTGAGGGGCGGGATGGAAGGCGCAGGTGCTAGGATATAGCACACGAAAGGAGTTCTCGTAGGTCGTCTGGTCCAATTCCCCACCGTCCCACTAGGTGGGGATACTGAGGCCTGAAATGGAGATGTGGCTTGCTCCTGGTCACACTGCCAGATGGTGATGGAGCCGATTCGAACTGGAGGAGGACAGGGAGGTGCCGTGTGAAGAGCACTGAACTTGGAAACCCTGGACCTTCGTCCACATCTTGACTGCCTAATACCAGAGTGACCCTGAGCAAATCAGTTCTCCTCTCTAGGCCTCAGTTTTCTCGTATGTAAAATGAGAGGCAGCTAATGGCAGTGGATAGAGTGCCTGGCCTGGAGTGAGGAAGACCTGAGTTCAAATTTTACTTCAGACCCTTACTAGTACTACCTGTGTGACTCTGGGCAAGTCACTTATGCCTGTTTGCCTCAGTTTCTTCATCTGTAAAATGAGCTGGAGAAGGAAAAGGCAAACCACTCCAGTATCTTTACCAGGAAAACCTCAGTGGGGTCAGGAAGAGTCAGACACAACTAAAACAACCAAGTAACAACAACAACAACAAAAAGGAGAGGGCTGACTTCTAATGCCCCTTCCAGTGCAACATCAGTGATTCTCTGAGCCAGACAGTGTTGGTGCACAGGGAAGTGAGCTCAATTTGGAACCAAACCTAATTTGGCAACCTCGGGTACTCTCAGACTTTGGGCGAGTCTATCCTCCCTTTGGAAAATCAGATATTTAATCCAATTTCTCTATCCCTCATTTTTCAAAAGAGGGAAGTGAAGCACAGAGAAATTAAATGACTTTACAAGGTCACATCAGTATTAAGTGCCCAGATTTTCTGTCCCCCAAGATTAGTGCTCCTTTCCTTGTCCTGTCAGGGGAAGAACAAAGATTCAAAACAGAGGAAATCTGGGTCTATTGGGAAATCAATAGAATGACTGTGAAGAACTGGGATGAGTCCAGATTAAGAGAGGAGGTCCTGAGCTGTGTTCACAATGATGACCAAAGACAATGAACTTCATCTGTTTGAAACTTCCTTTTCGTTCAGACTTGAGCCAGGATCACCTGTCTCAGCAAACCAGGGCAGTGACTTTCCTGAGACAGAAAAATGGCCTGATGCTTCTAAACTGGCTTTTTGAATCTGTTTCTGGTTCTGCTTCTCATTTGCTTCAGTGACTTTGAACAAGTCATTTGTCCTTTTTGGGCCTCAATTTCCTCTTCTGTAGAATGGGGGGTCCAGAATAGATAACCTCTGAGGTTCCTTAGAGTTCTAAAATCCTGTGATTCAGAGAGGATCATAGATTGACTTGGAAGAGGCCTAAAAGTTCATCTAGTCCTACCCCTCATCTGAAGCCCAGAGAGAAAAATCACTTTCCCAAGGCCTTTCACTTTTGTTAAGGGGTCCCCTGAACTTGACTTTCTGAGGTGGCATATTTTCCAGAAACACTGGATCCAGAGTGTGCAGGAGACCCTGAATGTGTCAAGGACAAAGCCCCTGAGCTTTGTCTTAATGTGTTTGCATCCCAAGCTGGATTCCCTGTGTGTCCTTGGGAGTCAAGATAGATGCCAGTCTGCGCTAGGCTGAGAAACTGCTTGTGTAGCTGGAACCCTTGTAGATAAGCAGACCATCCTATCTTCATGGCCTAGCAGCTCCCAAGAGAAAAAGAACTTAGCTTTTGCCATCTCCTTGCTCCTCCCCTTGAGGAGAGGTTTTTTCCTTTTCCCACCTTCACTGCTACACACTTTCCTTCTCCTAAGCCATGCCCCTTTAGGTGGAGATTTGTGTTTTCACTTCCTTCTGTTGTCCTACTCTCATAAATACACAAACTTCTGTGTGGATTGTGAACTCTTTGGTTCCACATGCATGCTTATTTCTCTTGCAATAAACCTAATTTTCAAGTTAAGTTTCATGTTGGGATTACCTGTTGACACACAGTACCAAAGCTAGAATTCAAATCCTTTTTACCTCTGCCCAGAGATAACCTATCTTTAGGAATAAGTGGACGAGTCATTCTAATTTTACTTTTTAAAGCAGAGTGCAAACTTCTTGTAGCAGGGAATGTTTGGATGTGTTTGTTGTCTTTGTATCTCTCTAGCACCTAGCACAATGACTTGTATGTAGGTGGATAATGCATGATGTTTGTTGTATTAAACAAATACATCATTTTCTATAGGCTCAATTGAATCCAAAGAACAGATTCTTCAGAACTGAGTTCTAAAGAAACAGAAATTATGCATGAAGCAGAGGGCAATAGAGAGGGAATGTAGGATTGAGTAAATTTCAGGATGTTGTCAATTATGACCTACCCACAATGAATAGCATGAGGAATAGTATCTTGGAAATGGGTTGTCAGAACAGGCAATAGCCTGATCATATACTGAGAGATAGGGGTACCAGATAAATAGCTCAAGTTTGGCACTGGAAGGTCAACACAATGTAAAAAGACCCTGATGGGAAGGAAACCTTCGGTTAGGGATGTTATTGGAGCCAGATCCAACCAGCTCATGGGTGCCAATTGTCCCTGTAAGCATTTACACCAGCACACCCCTGCTTCCAGCACATTGGGCAAATGCTTTGTGAAGGCTCCATGGGAAAATTGTGCAAGAAATCACTCAAATTAAAAGGATTGAGTGGGTTATGTTCTGTTCCAAGGGAGAAAATAAATGCCAACATCAAAGACATCCTGGTTTCACTGAAGTAGTTCATAGTTCATAAGCAGTAGTTGTTCAATACTCACCTGTGTAGTTCTCAGTCACCTGAGATGTCACACAACTTAATACATACCTTACTCAAATTTTATAGCACATTAAAGTTTTAGAAACACTTTCTTCATCAGTTGAATGGAAGCTCCCCCACTAAAATATAAGCATCTCCATGGCAGAGACTGAGTAATTTCTTTGTCTTTGTATCATAGTGCCTAGAACAGTACTGGACACATAGTGTAGGCTCTTAATAAATGGTGAGTGAAGAAGTGAATGCATGACAACCCTGTGAGGCACAAAGAATAAGAATTACTGCCCCCATTCTACAGATTAATAAATTGAGGCTCAAAAAGTACTTTGCCCCAGGTTACATAGGTACTACATGTCAAGGCTGGGATTTTTGTCTTCTACTGCCAAGGTGTAGAGTTCTCACTGGTTTTATTGCCTCAAAAATAACCTCCAGATAACTATTTTCTTCACCAAGCTGCTTGAAGGAAAAGGTCTATCTAGCCTTCTAGGCAACTAGGTGGATCAGTGGATACAGTACAGTATGTAAAGTGTGGAAGACCTGACTTTGAATCCTGTTTCAAACACCTTAACTAGCTGTATGATCCTGGATAAGTCATTTAAGCCCTCTGTGCCTTTGTTAATTGATCTGCAAAATGGATGTAATAAACACCTACCTCATGGGGTTTTTGTGAGAAACAAATGAGTTAACACATGTAAAGTGCTTTGCAAACCTTAAAGCACTCTATAAATACTAGTTATTGTTATCATCATCATCATCATCATCACCATTTTCTTCTCTAAACAGAAGTGCCAGTGTTATTCAGACAATTGGTTTCATAGGCTTAGATTTGAAAGGGACCTGAGAATCCATCTATTCCAACTCCCTCATTTTAAAGATGAGGAAACTGAGATCCATAGATGTTAAATGACTTATCCATATGTCATATAGGTAAGCAAGTGACAAGTCCAGGATTTGAACCCAGGCCTTCTGCTTCTAAAACCATTACTTTCTCGCTGGTTTTGTTGAATCAAACATAAACTCCACTAAACTACTTTTGACCATAAACTCCATGAAGATCTGTGCCAGCAAAATGTCAGAACTGGAACTTGAACCCAGGTTCCCATCTCCAGACCATACTTAATGTTTGTTGAATGAATGAATTATATACATGCATATATATATATATGAAATGAAAGTATTCCATAATTATAAATTTTCTATAAGTGAAAAAAGGTAAATAGGTGACCTAGAGTAGGGAAGACCTGAGTTCAAATATGACCTCAGACACTTACGAGCTATGTAATCCTGGGCAAGTTGCTTAACCTCTCTTTGCCTCAATCCACTGGAGAAGGAAATAACCATTCCAGTATCATTGCCAAGAAAACCCCATGGACAATATCTCCATGCTATGGTCTATGGAGTCACGAAAAGTCGAATACAACTATAAAACAACTGAACAACTACAATAAATGAAAAAGAAAACTCCCTCACAGAACCTCACATTACTTTCCCATTTGCATGAAAACAGCTTCCCTCCAAGATAGCCAAAGTTTACACATTCATCCAGAATACATAAATCTCTTGGAGATGGGGGGAA